CTGCAATAGTAAATACTTCTGGAGTTTAGACCAATTATCTGTTTAAATGTTTATACCACCCTCCTAAGGGATGCGGGTGGCGCTGTGGGTAAAAGCCTCAGCGCCTAGGGCTTGCCGATCGAAAGGTCGGCGGTTCAAATCCCCGCGACGGGGTGCGTTCCCGTTGTTCGGTCCCAGTGCCTGCCAACCTAGCAGTTCAAAAGCACTCCCGGGTGCAAGTAGATAAATAGGGACCGCTTACTAGCGGGAAGGTAAACGGCGTTTCCGTGTGCGGCTCTGGCTCACCAGAGCAGCGATGTCACGCTGGCCACGTGACCCGGAAGTGTCTCCGGACAGCGCTGGCCCCCGGCCTATAGAGTGAGATGGGCGCACAACCCTAGAGTCTGTCAAGACTGGCCCGTACGGGCAGGGGTACCTTCACCTTTACCTTTTACCACCCTCCTAGATTAATAAATCATAAAGTCGGAAGAGATTTGCATAAATTTAGAACCAGATCAGAGGTTTTGTTGGTGTGTGGATTTTAATGCATTGATGGGTAGAAATAACGAACAATGAACAAATGTAGCCCTTTAGACAACGATGATGCAAATATTCTGGACAGATATTCACAGGATAAGGTTATTAACAAATATGAGCAAATTCTCTGTTCTGTGATGTGCACACATCTGTTACATTGCCAACGTGGGGGGCTTCTGGGTAAAAAAAAGGCCATTACTCTTGTTTATCTCCAAATGGGGGCAGTGTAGTTGATTCTATCTTTGTTTCATGTAACATAATTTACTTGCAACAAATATTTTTGTTGTAAGTACTCTGAGGCATGTATTTTAATACATACTAGGAGTGTATATTTTCCCTCAAAATTATATTTAAATACCCCCCCTGAATATTCTATTTAAATGCATATTTCGCTAAGTTTGAACAACCATGAATTGCATTGCAATATTCAGAATAACACGAAACTTGGAATTTACCTTTTCTAAAGCCATATAAGGCCGAAGCTGATAAGATTTTCCTAGATTTCTTTTTTACTGTGAATTTCCTGTATCCAAACCCAGTCACTGTCCTTTACAATGCTATTGCTGGAAAGCAAACACTAGTTATGTTGTTTTCTTGGCTTTATTATCTATACTGATGCAGAAACTGTTGTAGCAACGGTTGTAGCATTCTCTTGCAACAAACCCTTCAAAGACTTTTTGGGAAAGTGAAAACGAGGATCACTTACTATTTTCTTTTTCTTTTCTCTTGCCTTGTAAAAGAATTGTACTTTTGTGGCTTTCTTTGCCACAGTTGTTTTGTTGACTGGAAGAAAAATAGATGATCATAGAATTGTAGAGTTGGATGCAACCCTGAGGCTCACCTAGTCTAACCTCCTGCAATGCAGGAATATGCAGGTGTCCCATAAGGGAATCGAACCTGTGACCTTGGCATTATCAGCACTATGGTCTAACCAAGTGAGCTATCCACAAGTACTCATGCATCACCTTCAACAGACTTTCCCAAACAGTGTTCCACAGGCCACCAGTGATCTGAGAGCTTCATTCAGGTGGTCTTTGGCATGTCTGTAAAAACGAACAAACCCAACAACCATTAAAAATCATGCAGCATCTAGCATAGTACATTTCAATTATTACAACAGGCAGAAAAATCATTAAGTGGCCCACTAAGACCCTTAAGGGACGCGGGTGGCACTGTGGGTTAAACCACAGAGCCTAGGACTTGCCGATCAGAAGGTCGGCGGTTCGAATCCCCGCAACGGGGTGAGCTCCCATTGCTCGGTCCCTGCTCCTGCCAACCTAGCAGTTCGAAAGCACCCCAAAAAGTGCAAGTAGATAAATAGGTACCGCTCCAGTGGGAAGGTAAATGGCGTTTCCGTGTGCTGCTCTGGTTTGCCAGAAGCGGCTTAGTCATGCTGGCCACATGACCTGGAAGCTGTACGCCGGCTCCCTCAGCCAGTAAAGCGAGATGAGCGCCGCAACTCCAGAGTTGGTCACGACTGGACCTAATGGTCAGGGGTCCCTTTGCCTATACCTTTAAGACCCTCAGCAATTTTCTGTGGGGGAAATTTTAGGACTACTTCCTACAACGCCAGCTATGTTTATAAGCATTTACTTGGCCGTCATTTAAACTCACAGAAAGCGTTTAATTAACGGTCAAGGCAAATCTAATGAATAAGATACAGATAGGTAGCCGTGTTGGTCTGCTATAGTCAAAACAAAAAAATTCCTTCCAGTAGCACCTTAAAGACCAACTAAGTTAGTTCTTGGTATGAGCTTTCGTGTGCATGTTTTCGTGTGTATCTGAAGAAGTGTGCATGCACACGAAAGCTCATACCAAGAACTAACTTAGTTGGTCTTTAAGGTGCTACTGGAAGGAATTTTTTTGTTTTGACTAATGAATAAGAGTTTATTGAAATGGTGTCCATGGCTCAGAATGGCGAGTTATGAAATTCCCACTAAGTTACAAAAAAAATAGGCTTATTCCCAAGTTGTATGCATAGGATTGCAAGCAATGACTTGCCCAGTGCTACAAAGGGGTTTCAGCTGCTCTAGTTGCTAAGAGACTGAGCTGAAGTTAGGGCGCTACATCCTCCCCTTGCCATCATGAGATCATTAAATGGTCTTAGTCAAACCACTCATGTAATATGAGGGTGATAATAATACTGATAATGCCACAGGGTTGCCGTAAAGGTCACTGTGAGATAATGTACGCAAAACACTCCATCTGAAAGTGCTGTTTAAGATGATAAATGTTATTACTTGAAAATGGCTTGCATTTAAAGGGAAGTGCTTTGTTCATCACCATAATACATTTGGGGAAAGGTCTGAGGGAGACGAGACCAGCTCTGTCTCTAGGCATTAAAGGTTAAGGACCCCTGACATTTAAGTCCAGTCCTGGACGACTCTGGGATTGCGGCGCTCATCTCGCTTTACAGGCCAAGGGAGCTGGTGTTTGTCCGCAGACAGTTTTTCCGGGTCATGTCGCCATCATGACTAAACCGCTTCTGGCGAAACCAGAGCAGCGCATGAAAACACTGTTTACCTTCCCGCTGGGGCAGTACCTATTTATCTACTTGCACTTTGACGTGCTTTCGAACTGCAAGGTTGGCAGGAGCTGGGACCGAGCAATGGGAATTCACCCCGTCACAGGGATTTGAACCGCCGAATTTCTGATCAGCAAGCCCAAGAGGCTCAGTGGTTTAGACCACAGCGCCACAAGAGGCCATAACACCCATGATTTTGGTATGTGTATACTTCATTTATTTATTATCCAGAGAGCAGAATGGCTGTAAACTATTAACTCTCAGGGCTTCTCTAATACATTGGTTCTCAAACTTAATCCGTTCCAGAAGTCTGTTCCAAAACCAAAGTATTCCAAAACCAAGGTGTGCTTTCCCATAGAAAGTAATGCAAAACGGATTAATCCATTCCAGACTTTTAAAAACACCCCTAAAACAGCAATTTAACATGAATTTTACTATCTAACGAGACTATTGATCCATAAAATGAAAGCAATAATCAATGTACTGTACTATAAATAAATAAAACAGCATTGTAGATGATAACAATTAAAAAAAATTCCCCCTACCTGTACTGATGATAGTCATTGTTGGGGGGGGCTTTTATCGATTTCTGCAGTCACACAATCAGTCAGTCAGTAGCTGAACTGGGATCCACACAGTCACAAAACAAATTAACTGAAAAAGCCTCAAAACAAAAACGCAAAATAAATAGCAAAAACAAAAGCACCAAATATAATCTCCAAATATCACCTTAGAACATTGCAATTGGAAACAGAAGGCTTGAATTACAATGGGGGGGGGATGCAAATTAGCAGTGCAACAGGAAACACGGAGGGCTCAAAACGGAGCACGTTCGGCTTCCGAAAAAAGTTCCAAAACTGGAACACCTGCTTCCGGTTTTGCAGCGTTCGGGTTCCAAGTTGTTCGTGAACTAAGCTGTTTGAAAACCGAGGTACCACTGTATCCTCAGGGTGTTGGAACCCCTAGGAATGGACGGCGATTGTGTTTGCTCATCTCCCCCCTGTTGTTTGTACGTAAACCTTTAACACTGCATAAATAAAAGGTTTGTAGTTCTTGTTACAGGAAGGCGGATCCCTCTCTCTTGTAGTGGGGTAAAGCAGGGGTTTCTCTGGTCTTCCTCCAACCCCCTCCATAGCCATTCCACGGGTTTAAAGGTCTTGATCTTGTTGACAATCCTTGACCCTCTTCTGCTGAGATTTTAAAGCTAGTTAGAGCCAGTTGTCTGATATATGTCCACTTGCTTCTTGTGGAACTGTACGGCATGAGGGTGGCTGGCTGGTAGAATTCCTCCCAAGTTGCATAAACTCATGAAGACTTTTGTTCCTTGCATTTGGAATCAGAAAAAGAAATCCTGGGGAAGTATGTTCAATAGCAGAGTAGCTATAATTCCATCAGGGTAAAGGTCACCCTATTGCTGCTTATATAAAGCAGCTACTAAATTGTAATGCATATTGCAATGACTGACCACACAACTGCTGAAAAAAATGACTCTTGGAGCATAACAACCCCAGTTAGGCGCATTTGAGGTTTTCCTTATTTTGACAAACCAGGCCAATGAAAGCCAACCCCATAATACTTTTACTAGTTTCTAGAGTGCTGTGTTGGTGACAAAAGACTAATTGCAGCCATAAAACCCTGTTGAATCTGCATCTTTCCTCTGCCTCTGTACTGCCCCTGTGTGGCCTCAGATAGATACTGCAGAAGCTGATAAGACTTCATTCGTCATATGGATTGTTGTTTTTTACTCCTCTCATTTGACAGATTCTGGATTTTTGCAAACACCACAGGATCATACCTATTATTATTATCATTCCTTCCCATTCATACCCTTTCCTTCCATCCTTGTGGAGAGAGCATATGCTGTCAGCCCCCATAAGGAGTCTTGAACTTCAAGAGCTAATTTCTCACTGGAGCAAAATGTGAATAGTTTTTTTCTTCTTTCTTTCTCTCTCACCTGCAGGATCTGGGAGACTCCACTCCTCCTGGCTGCCAAGGAGAACAATGTCCAGCTCATCAGGAAATTGATCTTGGATGGTTCCTGTGACGTTTTGCAAAGAGGTACTTATCCTAGGGGATGTGGGTGGCGCTGTGGGTTAAACCACAGAGGCTGGGGCTTGCCGATCAGAAGGTCGGTGGTTCGAATCCCCGCGACGGGGTGAGCTCCCGTTGCTCGGTCCCTGCTTCTGCCAACCTACCTAGCAGTTCGAAAGCACATTAAAGTGCAAGTAGATAAATAGGTACCGCTCCGGCGGGAAGGTAAACGGCGTTTCTGTGTGCTGCTCTGTTTGCCAGAAGCGGCTTAGTCATGCTGGCCACATGACCCGGAAGCTGTATGCCAGCTCCCTTGGCCAATAAAGTGAGATGAGCGCCACAACCCCAGAGTCGGTCACGACTGGACCTAATGGTCAGGGGTCCCTTTACCTTTACCATGGGCATCTCACCTCTGTGAAGGAGTATTCCATCACCTGGTATCTCGGCTATCCTCTCTAAGGTGATTTTCCTCCCTGGGGGAGATGGAATTGCTTATCCTAGACCCCTACCAATGAGAGCGGTGCATGGTCCACTGAAGAGCCACATTAAACTAAATTGCCTTGACCTATCATAGAATCAAATAATTTTAGAGTTTGAAGGGACCATGAGGGTCATCTATTCCAAGCACCTGCAATGTTTTAGCTTTCGTTCTGTCCAATGGAATTGGTACTGCAGCCTAGTTTGTACTATCTAGGTTGGTGTCCTAAGGCGAGCCACTTCTCAAATACCCCATATCACTTGGGTACATTCCTTATCTTTATTTATAGTTACAAGCCATACTAGAGGGATAGGGGAAGCAGCCTCCCCTTTTTTGGTCACATGGCCACCACGTTCACAAAGTGAGGGTCAGAGAGTCTAATTTTCACAACAAAAGGGGACATATGTGCGGGGGGGGGGGACTGAACCGTCCCTTGTCACCTGCCTGTCACAAACGAGACCTAGCCAATGTGGTGCCTTCCAAATGATACTTGATTACAGCCCCAGAAAGCATGGCCAAAGGTCATGGATAATGGAAGTTGTGGTCCAAAAGGGCAAGGATGATGGAAATTGTAGTCCAACAACATCTGATGAACACCACATTGACTATCCCAGACTTACAGACACCCTTCTTTCTGTCCACCTCTACCAGAGTTTGAGTTGGGAGAAAAGTGTCTGAAACAATGGAATTTGAGAAGGGGAGCATGTAACTCACTCACTCATTCACTCAACATGTCCCCTTTTCACTATAAAAATCAGAACTTTTCATCCACCCACAAGCTTAAATGTGAACAATTCAGGCACCTGGAACGCATAGCTGTCGCTGTCGTGATGTCCACTTCAGCCCCAAGTGCAGCTCAGTCTTAGGTGACCTTTGTGTTTCCCTCGTCCTGCGCAGGAGCGGTGGGAGAGACAGCCCTGCACATAGCTGCTCTCTACGATAACACGGAAGCTGCAGAGGTGCTCCTGGAGCTGGCTCCAGAACTCATTAATGAAAAGATGACATCAGAACTCTATGAAGGTAATTGCTGTCGAAATGCATATTGCAATTCACATAGAGAAAGATGAGCAGTTACACTATTTGCAAACTCGTATCATAATGTGAAACGGATAACAACAGATAAAATGCATGTATGACAATGAGTGGAAGTTTGTGCTTTTACTTTTGCAATAGTTGATAAAGGGTAGTGCAGTGGAAATGGTTTTAGAGAGAGATGGAAATCCCAAATACAGGATTCAAAAGATGTGCGTCATTATTTTTCTCATTAAATAAATCCTCTGAAGCATGGGGTGGAATTCAGTGTTGTGCACTTCCAATTGTTCTGTTTGTGAAAGCATTTCAGCTTGCCAGATGGAAGGATCTCCCTCTCTCCTCCACCCCATGTGTTGATCTAAGGGGTTCTCTTAACTCCCCAAGCAAATTTGGGGGATACAGGAGGAGGAGAGGGAGGAAGACCCCTTACACAAATGCAATTCCTTTAGTAACCGTCTGTTGATACGGCTGGTTAGGTGAAACTCACCCATGGTTTTTTTTAATAGCTCGGATAAACAAAATGTTGCTATCAAGTCTGCTAGAATTTGACATGAGTAACACTTCCAAAGGATTGGTGCAGAGAATGTCCTGGTGCGAGTCTTTCATGTAAGGTTTGCTTTGTTTGTTTAATGTGAATTGCAGGACAAACACCTCTCCACATTGCAGCGATCAATCAGAATATAAACCTAGTGAAATGTCTGGTCAAGAAAGGGGCTCACATCTCCACTCCTCGAGCTACAGGACTCTTCTTCAGGCGCAACCCGAAAAGCCTCTTCTACTTTGGTATGATTTGCATCGGCTGCTCCAGAGAACGGGATTGCTTCTGGTAGCTGATAGAAATGTTGTGCCCCACAAGGTTTAGCAGAGCTTTCCAAACTGTGTGTCTTGACACGTTCATGTGTTGCGCGAACACTCCCCACACTCCTCCCAGGGCCGGAAAGGGATTAGTTTAACCTCCGGTTTGCTAGTAAAACAAGGATGGCCGCTAAATCTCTCCTGCAAGAGTGTTCCACAACATGGAACCAGAAGCACTGAATGCCCAACTCCTAGTGGAGGTCAGTCAGGCTTCTGTAATGCGGGGGACAATTTGGTGCCTCTGTTTAAAACCAGCACCCCAAGCAAGTTCAGACAGTGGCTCTGCCCTTCTCATCTAGAATTGCCGTTTAGCAACAAGCAATATAGAGGGACGTGGGTGGCGCTATGGGTTAAACCATAGAGCCTAGGGCTTGCCAATCAGAAGGTCGGCGGTTCAAATCCCCGCCACGGGGTGAGCTCCCGTTGTTCGGTCCCTGCTCCTGCCAACCTAGCAGTTCGAAAGCACGTCAAAGTGCAAGTAGATAAATAGGTACCGTTCCAGCGGGAAGGTAAACGGCGTTTCCGTGTGCTGCTCTGGTTCGCCAGAAGCGGCTTAGTTATGCTGGCCACATGATCCGGAAGCTGTACGTTGGCTCCCTTGGCCAATAAAGCAAGATGAAGGCCGTAACCCCAGAGTCGGTCACGACTGGACCTAATGGTCAGGGGTCCCTTTACCTTTACCTTTAATATATTTCCTTGTAATGTTGGGTGCGACATCTATGGCTGTAATAATGCCCAATTCATACAGACAAGTCACCAAGTGATAAGACAAAACACCCTTGACACCAGTTGCATTGAATAAGAAAGAAAAGACAGACAGACAGACAGACAACAGTGTCCCAGGCATAAAAACCAACTTGTTCTAGACAAAATTCTCTTCCAGCCCCAATTACAAATGGCATGACTATTTAAATCTCAGCCTGACACCTCCCCGACCCACACTTCCAATGATCTGCTTTGTTGAGATAAGGATTTCCCCCCTTCATGCTGCTAGATAGAACCATTACAGATGCATAAATGTCCCACAGCAGGCCCAATTTTAGAAGAGGCATTCTCTGCATGAAAAAAGGAGGAATGTCTCTTCTAAGAAGGCAGCCATCACCTACAGCTTTTGTAACCACCTGTATCTCCTGTGTGATTAATCAGGGGGCACCTTGTTAATGAATGAAAAAATAATTAGTCTAACCAGACTTTGCCAACTTGGTGCCTTCCAGAGGTTTTGGACCACAACTCCCATCATCCCCAGCCATCAGGCGCTCCTGAGGATGATGGGAACTGTAGTCAAAACATCTGGAGGCCACCGGGTTGTCAAACGCTGGTCCAACCAATGAGCCAGCCAAATGTTGTAGCCTTAATTACTAAACTTCAGAGAAATATCTCCTCCCCCTCCAAATGCTTGGGTCTTGTTTTAATCCTGTTTTGTCCCTTGTATTTCTCTTCAGGGGAGCATATTTTATCCTTTGCCGCCTGCACAGGAAATGAGGAAATTGTGAGCCTCTTGGTGGAAAATGGAGCCGATATCAGGGCACAAGATTCTCTAGGTAAGAGACCTGCAGTCAGAAGGAGAAATAATTTCTTCTTTTTAGTAAAATGGGGCAAATATTTTTTTTCTGGGTTGATCATGGTAGAAGCCGACGAGTTGAAATTTGAGGTGGAAGACATCTAATTAAATATCATCTTGCTGCAAACGCACCCATAAGACGGACAAATCACACCTCCACCATTCCTTGTCTAAGAAAGAGGGTTGTTATTAGATTAAGACACGCATTGCTATAATGATTGCATGCTTTTAACTGATTCATGGATCAGGCAATTATATTTACATACCAGCCCCTCAATACTAATTAGCCTTAAGCTGATTAAACAATCTATGACCTTTTAAACTGGGGGGGGGGTATTGTTTTTGTTCATTACTATGTTCTGTATTTTTGTGTTTTAATAATGTAAACCGCCCTATGAGCCTTGGATGAAGGGCAGAATAGAAATGTAATTAAATAAATAAAATAAGGCAGCATATCACAAAAGTGTTCATATACTGAGGGGGTGGTAATTTTATATCCGTATATTTGCCCAATCAATGAACCAATTACACGTGTGGGACAAATGACCAATAGCCCATTATTAGACAAAGGATGATACAGGTGCAATTTGTCTTGTTTATGAAGTGGGTTTTTCTTTACAATTTTAATTCTAGTTTCTATTCTTTCTTAAAAATGACGTTTTTAATGCGTTATTTTTCATTGCCTGTGACATACCACAGCTGAAATAATCTCAAAAAAATGCCAGGCGGTGCTCAGTGCAAAACCACGATATTTAAAATTGGCCCCATCAGTTTAACATTGATTTAATCAAATACCGTATTTTTTGCTCTATAAGACTCACCTTTTCCATCCTAAAAAGTAAGGGGAAATGTGTGTGCGTCTTATGGAGCAAATGCAGGCTGCACAGCTATCCCAGAAGCCAGAACAGCAAGAGGGATCGCTGCTTTCGCTGCGCAGCGATCCCTCTTGCTGTTCTGGCTTCTGGGATTCAGAATAATTTTTTTCTTGTTTTCCTCCTCCAAAAACTAGATGTGTCTTATGGTCTGGTGCGTCTTATAGAGCGAAAAATATGGTACTTCCATTGGTTTAAATCAGTGTTCCCCAACCTTGGGCCTCCAGCTGTTTTTGGACTACAACTCCCATCATCCCTCGCTAGCAAGACCAGTGGTCAAGGATGATGGGAATTGTAGTCCAAAAACAGCTGGAGGCCCAAGGTTGGGGAACACTGGTTTAAATCACTCCTGAGCAGAGCTTTCACTTTACTAAATAATCTGATATTAGCACAGTAAGCATTACCACTCAACTGCTGTGTTTCATAACTTCAGTTCCCTGAATATGGTTCTCTTATGCTGTTTCCATTTCAGGTAACACTGTTCTCCATGTCCTGGTACTTCAACCCAACAGGACCTTTGCATGCCAGATGTACAGCCTGCTGCTTGCTTATGACAAACGAGAGGCTGGCCTGGGACCTTTCGACTTGATCCAAAACCACGAAGGCCTCACTCCATTCAAACTGGCTGGAGTTGAGGGGAACACTGTGGTGAGCACACAGTCCAACTAATCAATGTGGGAGACACCTTGAAGGGTGGGTGGGGGAGTTATTTTAAAGCAAATGGAATTTCAAACTTGTGGGCACATGTAGAAAAATTATTTGCACAACCAATAAATTCTAGTGGTTTGCGGATCCCCTTTCCTACCTCACTCCAGTTTGCAAAACTGGATTGGTAAACAAGATCATTGCAAAACAACTATTCTGAAATGTGTAAAGGTAAAGGTAAAGGTGGGACGCGGGTGGCGCTGTGGGTAAAAGCCTCAGTGCCTAGGACTTGCCAATCGAAAGGTCGGCGGTTCGAATCCCCGTGGCGGGGTGCGCTCCCGTTGCTCGGTCCCAGCGACTGCCAACCTAGCAGTTCGAAAGCACCTCCGGGTGCAAGTAGATAAATAGGGACCGCTTTACAGCGGGAAGGTAAACGGCGTTTCCGTGTGCTGCGCTGGCTCGCCAGATGCAGCTTGTCACGCTGGCCACGTGACCCGGAAGTGTCTCCGGACAGCGCTGGCCCCCGGCCTCTTGAGTGAGATGGGCGCACAACCCTAGAGTCTGGCAAGACTGGCCCGTACGGGCAGGGGTACCTTTACCTTTACCTTTTTAAAGGTAAAGGTACCTTCCCGTACGGGCCAGTCGTGTCCGACTCTAGGGTTGCGCACCCATCTCACTTAAGAGGCCGGGGGCCAGCGCTGTCCGGAGACACTTCCGGGTCACGTGGCCAGCGTGACGAAGCTGCTCTGGCGAGCCAGCACCAGCGCAGCACACAGAAACACCATTTACCTTCCCGCTAGAAAGCGGTACCTATTTATCTACTTGCACTTTAGGGGTGCTTTCGAACTGCTAGGTGGGCAGGAGCTGGGACTGAAAGATGGGAGCTCACCCCGCCACGGGGATTCGAACCGCCGACCATACGATCGGCAAGCCCTAGGCACTGAGGTTTTACCCACAGCGCCACCCGCATCCCTACATCTGAAATGTGTACAGTAGATTAATTATGCACCGGGTTTGGCTTCCAGGTTTGCTCATGCCCAATTAGGTGAACAAGTACAAAAATTTCAAAGGTAGCTGTGTTTCATCAGTTCGAATATTGTTTCAGGAAGTGCAAATTAAGTAGGTTTTGGGGTCAATGAATTTTCACCCAAATGACAACAATAAGCTCTGCCTTCCAACCCAAACAGTCCAGCACCAAGTCTTGGATCTTCTGTAACCCTTGCTGTCTTTCTTCAGATGTTCCAGCACCTTATGCAGAAGCGAAAGCACGTGATGTGGTCCTTTGGGCCCATTAACAACATTTTCTACGACCTCACGGAAATTGACTCCTGGAACGAAGACCAGCCTTTTCTAGAGCTTATTGTCTCAACCAAGAGAAGAGAGGTACTGTGGAACTCAGATACTTTTTTTTTTTTTTGGGGGGGTCTTTGTGGAAAAGAGGACTTGTGCTGGTATTATGGAAGGAGCAATCTGAGTGGTCCTTATGCCAGCTGTTCGTACAATCCACAGTGTTTAGGACTTCCTTGGCCAGCTGATGAAAGGAAGAAGGAGAAAAAGTGGTGGGATTCCAGAACAGGATTTGCATCACGGACTTCAACTTTGTGGGACAGAGGGAAAGAATGCAGCCTTGCACTGCAAATACACAAACTGTCCATTGGAACATTGCTGAAGCTGCAGGTGACAGCCTGTGCGCTTTTCTGTTTTCTCAGTGAAATTAAGTAGGCTGTAATACGCACAATGTTGGCCACCAAAGCATTACAAGGTTTGAGCAGTTTGCATTGATGGAGATGTTCTTTTAATGTCCAGAAATACCAACTTGGGAAAGGACAGAATTATGCGTTACCGGCATGCAGAGCTCTTTAATATATATATATATATATTTCTGAATTTCCAAAGTTTACAAATTAATACAGTGGTACCTTGGTTCTCGAACTTAATCCGTTCTGGGAGTCCGTTTGACTCCCGAAACTGTTTGAAAACCAAGGCACAGCTACCGATTGGCTGCAGGAGCTTCCTGCACTCAATCGGAACCCGTCTTCCAAAAAACATTTGCAAACAGGAACACTTCTGGGTTTGCAGCATTCAGGAGCCAAGCTGTTCAGGAACCAAGGTACCACTGTACTTTCCAGATACACGTTCGTTTCACATTCGACTTCCCCTCTACCCCCTCCATGGTTTTCCCCGTAATTTCTAAAATTGCTGCATATTATTAATATTCTGTACCTTATCTTTTCCACACCATTCTCCAACAAGTATTCAACTGCGGCTCTTCATGCAAATCCTACCTGTGTTTTTACATGTTTACAACAATTCTATAAATATTCCTCAAAAGGTTTCCACTCCTCCTTAAAGTCTGCCTCTTCTTGATCTCTTAATTCCCATCGTTAAATTTGCCAATTCAGCACAGCATGCAGATCTCTTTTTCAAACTGATAGGTATGCTTCCTTGCTTTATGTTGCTTTTCCTCTCAGAACAGAATTCTAGAGATATCGTAGCAAAGTTCACTGCTTTCTTCAAGTCAAAAGAAAATTCTGTTTTGAAAGGTCTCAAGTACCTCTAAGGATTACAGGTGTATCCAGCAGGAGTAGCCTCTGCACAGTAGCCTTCAGCCTGTAGCAAGCTGGCCCTGTGTCCCCTATTGGCTTCCAGCCTTTATTAGGAAGGGAATTGCGGTTGTGTATTCTGGGGCTTTGCAATCTATCTCAAAGTGTAAGTTGCATTGTGTAATATTCTTAAAGATCCAAGAAGCTGCCTGAAATACTCGCATTACTAATTGCAGTGGATTTAGTGGGATAATGAAGCCTTAATGCACACACATCTAGCCTCATGAAACTTGGGCAATTTAGTTTCATCAGTCCTTTCTTTTCCTGTTTGTTTTCCTCCTCCCACTGCAAACTGCTTCTACTCCTCTGGCCTCCTAAGAACCCCACTAGATACTGCAACCTTCCTTTTTCCCCAGGATGCCCATCACACAGTATAGGCTGTTGGGAAGCTGCAACAGGGCTAGGGTGGCTGCTAGGGCTAGATAGACAGTCACTTTTCATATGATCCAGAATCTTCCCGTGAGTAAAATTCAGAAGCGGAAGCGCAGGTTTGGTCAGAGGCAGCGCCTTTGATTTGGCCTCTGAGCCTGAAAACACAGTAATAACAAGGGCTCCTAAGCTGCAAAGCAATTGAGAATAGCCAATTATTCTGAAGCCTTGGCCACTGCTTTACTGAAAGCCCCATTTGAAAAAAGTGTGTGTGTGTGTGTGTGTGTGTGTGTGTGTGTGTATATAATGACCTTTGAAAACTGCAGCTTCTTAAGACTTTGTGGGACAGCTCAGTGATACAGTGCATGCTTTGTAGTCCAAATTTCCCAGGTTTGAACTCTGGCAATGCAGCTCTGTTGTCCCCGAAAAACAAATGGTTTGCCTGTTAAGACTTTGCAAACCCTGCTGTGAAAGTTCCATATGCTGCTTGGCCGTCTTCCCATTAAATTCTATGGCTTGTTTATTACATGGGAAATACTCCTCGCACAGTAGGCCTGTTAAATGGCTTTGTGGCAGCAACTGTTATCAACCAGCTCGCCTGTATGATTTGGGACATTTGGCGTCACCGCACCTTAGTTTCTTTTTTTGACCTCTTTGCACTATCATAAACATGAAATGGCACTGTGGCACGTGGTTGGAAGCACATTCACATATGCAGCCTCGGTCTTTGACTACACCCAACACTACACCCAACACTGCAGCACGCCGCTCTGGCTTGCACAATGTCGTCCTTCTTTCCCTTTCTTTTTCATTATAGGTTTGCTTCAGATCTCCTATGCATTTAGAGCTATAACTAGCCCTAGAGAGTACTGTATTTTTTGCTCTATAAGACTCACTTTTCCCCTCCTAAAAAGTAAGGGGAAATGTGTGTGCGTCTTATGGAGTGAATGCAGGCTGCGCAGCTATCCCAGAAGCCAGAACAGCAAGAGAGATTGCTGCTTTCACTGCGCAGGGATCCCTCTTGTTGTTCTGGCTTCTGAGATTCAGAATTTTTCTTTTCTTGTTTTCCTCCTCCAAAAACTAGGTGCGTCTTATGGTCTGGTGCGTCTTATAGAGTGAAAAATACCGTAATTTTTTTTTTTTTTTTAAATTTTTTTATTAAGTTTCATTTAATGCATACACATAACACAGGTAAGTAAAAATAGAAAAAGAAAAGGAAAAAAGAAAAATTAAAAGGAGAAAAAGTAAGAAAAGAAACAAGATAACATACTGTGGAAACAATTTGACTTCCATCCCTCTTGACTCTGGATTCCTAATTTTTCCAAGATTCTATCTTTACAGCTGTTGTTATTTAATAACTTGAAACATCGAAAGTTTTATAATAAACCAACTATATTTGGTACGTTTTCGTAATTTCCTTCTATATATGTCATAAATTTAGCCCAATCATCCCTTAACTTTGTATTCTTTTGGTTTCTAATTTTCTGCGTCATGTTTGCCAATTCAAAGAAGTCATATAGCTTATTTTGCCATTCCATCATCGTTGGGGTGCTCGTGCTTTTCCATTTTTGAGCAATTAGCAGTCTGGCCGCTGCTGTTGAGTACTGGAACAAAATTACATCTTCTTTCTTAATCTCCTCTCCTATGATGCCTAATAGAAAAGCCTCTGGTCTTTTTAAAAATGTGTATTTTAATATTTTTTTTTAACTCGTTGTATATGGTATCCCAGAATTTTTTAATATCCTCGCAGGCCCACCACATATGCATGAAATTGCCCTCCTTTACTTTACACCTCCAGCAGGCCCCGCTACCAATCTTGTATATCCTATTCAGTTTTTCTGGTGTTAGATACCATCTGTGAATCATCTTTTCTATGTTTTCCCTGATTGCGGCACACGCCGTAAATTTTATTCCCTTCTCCCACAGTTTTGACCACTGCTCATAGGCTATGCTATGTCCTAGATCTATCGCCCATTTAACCATGACTTCTTTGATCTCCTCATCTTTTGTGTCCCACTCCAATAAAATATTGTACATTTTAGATAATAATTTAGAGTTACCTTCAATTATTTCAATCTGAAATTTCGATTTTTTTTCATTCATTCCAATTTTTTTATCTTCCGCCCATATGGCATTGATTTGATAATACTGTAGCCAAACTGTCAATTTTCCCTCCAGCTCCTCGTATGGTCTTAATTTCCACGTGTCTTCCGATCTTACCAGTAGGTCCTCATATGTTAAGTTCTTTACTCCCGTATTTATATTTTTAGTTGTTATAATATTAAAAGGGGATAGCCACCAAGGGGTTCGCCATTCCAGTAATTTTTTATTCCTGTTCCAGGCTTCATACAAGGGGCCTCTAATAATATGATTCAAAAATCCCCTATGCACTTTCCCTTTATTCTGCCATAGATAGGCATGCCAGCCGTATCTATTGTCCGCCCCTTCCAGGTCCAGTAGATCGCTGTTTTCTAGAGTGATCCACTCTTTAACCCAGCATAAACATGCGGCTTCATGGTACAACTTTAAGTTTGGAACAGCGAAACCCCCTCTTTCTTTTCGGTCCGTAAGAATTTTAAATCTGATCCTTGGTCTTTTCCCCTGCCAGATAAATCTGGAGAGAGTCCGTTGCCAATCTTTGAACAGTTTAGTCCCCCTAATTATTGGAATGTTTTGAAAAAGGAACAACATCTTAGGAAGTACGACCATCTTTATCGCCTCCATCCTGCCCAACCATGATAAATTGACTCTATTCCAAACATCGAAATCTCTTTTAATCTCTTTCCAAACTACCGAGTAGTTGTCTTCAATTAAATTTATGTTTTTTGACGTAAGCCAGATTCCTAAATATTTTATTTTTTTTGCAGTTTTTATTCCGAATTTCCTTTCTAGTTCTTCTTTTCCATCACTTTTCAGATTTTTTGTCAGCATTTTTGTCTTCAGTTTGTTTAGTTTAAAACCGGATAGCTTGCCATATTCCTCCATAATCTCTAGTGCCTTGCCAATACTCTCTCGGGGTTCTTCCAAGGATAATATCAGGTCATCTGCGTAGGCCTTTAGTTTAAATTCCTTCAAACCTATTCTAATCCCTCGTACTTCAGACGCGGTTCTAATTTTATTTGCCAATATTTCTAAAACCATAATAAATAGGAGCGGGGAGAGAGGGCAACCCTGTCTTGTTCCCTTTTCTATCTTGAATTGGTTTGTTAAATTGTTATTTATTACCAATTTGGCCGATTGAGTTGAATATATAGCTTGTATTCCTTTCAGAAAATCGCCCTCTATCCCCGCCTTCTCCAAACATTTTATCATAAACATCCATGATACGTTGTCGAACGCCTTTTCGGCGTCCACAAACATCAATACTGCCGGTACGTTGTTATTAATCTCCAGGTACTCAATTAAATTTAT